GGCGCCTCAGCCAGTTGAGCTATAGGCGCCGAGCCAGATAGCATTAGTTTCAATCACTATAGTATATGAAAAAAAAAAAAACCCTGATAAAAAGGTTTAGTTGAGATCTATGGCTTTACTGTAAAAACCTGCATCTTTTTTTAAATTTTAATTTTTAAAAATTTGTTTCTTAGAAATAGGGTCTTGCTCTGTTGCCCAGGCTGGAGTGCAGTGGCCTTATCCTAGCTTTTGGCAGCCTCAGACCCCTGACACATTTTTTGTGGGTTGGTAGTGGGATTAGTTTTATGTTTGTTGATACCAGCAATTTTATTTTTTTGAGATAGGGTTATGCTCTTTCACCCTTGTTGGAGTGCAGTGGTGTCATGGTAGCTCACCTCAAACTCCTGGCTCAAGCCATCCTTCTAGTCTCTCTAGTAGCTGGGACTACATGCTTACACCACCACACCCTCCCTAATTTTTCTGTTTTTTAGTAGAGATGGAATCTCACTTTTTCTCAGGCTAGTCTCAACTCCTGGGTTTAAGCAGTCCTCCTGTCTTGTCCTCTCAGAGTGCTAGGATTACGGTCACGAGCCACCACATGATACCAGCAGTTTGAAAGTTTTTAGTGATAATTCTAAACTGTGATGCAGATTTGCATGGTAAGGGATTTTACACTCTTGATCTTGGTAAATAACAGTTTAGCTCTTTCCAGATTTTATTTTGGTTAACTGGGAAAATACACTATTTTAGGGAGCAAGAGACAAATCATGGTATGTTAAAGAGAAGTTATTCTGGTATATATAACATAGTATATGACTCAGAAGTTGTTTAGGTGCTTAGAAGAAACATTGAAAAAAAGCACATGAAAGATTAGAGAAGCGCCTACTTATAATTTTATACTATAGTTTATAAAACCTAGGAGGGTTGGGTGGCAGCTGTGGCTCAAAGGAGTAGGGCACTGGCCCCATATGCCGGAGGTGATGGGTTCAAACCCAGCCCTGGCCAAAAACTGCAAACCCCCCCCTGAGAATGTTACTTCCCTTAACATATGCCTTAAGGCTGTATCATTACATATATTTATAATAGGCTGGAAGTGTTAAGATGTACATGTTGAGTTTTTCACCTTTTGTGTTTTGTTCACTTCTTTTATTTTGA